CCACCAGATACAAGTGCTTGTATTCACAGGGCTTGGTTTCCGTTTCCCCTTGGGTTTTTTCTGGGGACTGATTCCCTGTTGGGCATGTTTCCCTGCTTACCTCTTCCTCCCTAGCACCAACAATGGAGCTCCCACCATTTGTTTTGGTAATATATCCTCACTATTGCTAGTGGAGTCCTCTTGTTTGTTATTTCCTGCGGTATTTCTAGTTTGCAATATTGGTTTTATCTTATCTTTGACTACACTTGTTTCCCTACTATGGCTCCTGTCCCCTATGAGGTCATTTATATGTATTCCTTCCTGCGTATAATTCCCGACTACCTGGACAAAATCTCCAGCTTCACCATTACTGTCTCCCAGGACAGCATCTCCAGCTTCACCATTACTGTCTCCCAGGACAGCACCTCCATGCTTCACCATTACTGTCTCCCAGGACAGCACCTCCCGCTTCAACCATTACTGTCTCCCAGGACAGCACTATCAGCCCCACATTTACTGACTACCAGGACTTCATCTCCAGCCTTACAGTTTCTGACTACATGGCCAGTATCAAGGGCAGTACCATTCAGCCCAGACTTTTTATGTTCCCATCTGTTGTAGAAAGCTTCCAGGTTGTCTATGAAAGCAGCTTTGATGTTGTCCTCTTTTAATACCCTTGTGATTTTAGTCCACAGATTTATCTCATTTGGGCATACCCAAAAACACTTCCCTATTTTAACACTGCTTGTAGCTAGTTCTTGGATATCTGCACAAGGGGCGTGACACCAATTTCCACAAAAATGACAATTTACCCATGTGGAAGCCCGTTTGTTTGACTGACCACAGACTACACACAACAAATTTCCCAAAAAATTTCCAAGACCGTAGGCATACTATCGAGGATACGGTAATATGTTCCACAGTCATCCCTCCTGGCCCTATATCACTCACTTATTTACCCCTATCTCACCTATGGAATTTGTGCATGGGGCTCAACAACAATAAACCATCTCAGACCATTAATTACCCAACAAAAGGCTGCAGTCAGAATAACAAATTCCCACTACAGGCAGCACATTCCACCAATATTCAAAACTCTAAACCTGCTCACCATACAAAACATCCATACTTATTATTGTATTATTCATTGAACACTTAACTCTGATATAAACCCTCCCCTCAAACGTCTCCTGACCAACCTCTACAGAACACATGACCATAACACAAGGCACAGATCACTCTTTGATGTTCCTCGTGTCCATCTCACGCAATGCAAAAACTCAATGCATATAAAAGGCCCTAAAATCTGGAATTCACTACCTGTGAATGTAAAAGAAACACTGTCTGTTTATAAATTCAAGTCTCTTCTCAAAAATCACTTACTCACCCACAACTAAATAAATACTGAATAATTGTATCTCATAAATGTTTCTCATTATTGTATGTCATAAATGCCTAACCTGTGACCCAATCAAACTTTGTTTTTTTTAATACATTACCTAACAGAAAACTCCATTCTGCTGAATGCTCAGCAACACAGTAAATGACTGTATGACCTGTCTTTGTAATACTCATTTGTGCTAAATTGTTTTCTGTTTACAATAATGTTTTTACCACTGAATATATCATTGCTTAGTTAATCTTAAGTTAATTTTAAGCCTGTCCATAATGCTCTGCATACAAAGGGCTTTGTCATGTTACACTGTAATAACTGTATTTCTTTGTACTTCACTGTATCATGTTCAAATTAATAAATAAATAAAAATTATACCGTAATAGAATTAGGTGGTGGGAGGCGTCATAATAGTGAGTCGTCACCGGCCTTTATAAACCACAACAACAACAACAACAATAACAACAACAACAACGTCTGAGGTGGAGATTTATTCGACATTTTTGTAAATTATCTTCAGTTTATATATTGTTTGAGTGTGTATCACCTGGAGACTGATGTATGAGGTAAGTAGGAAGACAGAGATAATAATATATATCAAGATAATATGATAATGGCGGCGGAAATAAGGAAAGTAATAGTTGCTCTCAACTTTACCAACACAATACCTTATTTAGTTCTAAATCTCGTAAATAATATTTAACTTTATATAGTAAATTATGCTGAACTTAAACCAGAAATAAACCAGTAAGTTAAAACAAGTAGATCCTTGTGTTATCTAGTTTTTACTTAGGCCTATAAAGATCCTACATCATTCTCTTAGTAATAAAAAATTTATTTTCATGACATAGACAGATAACTTATTTTAAAACAAATATTTATGTTGATAATTTATATGATTGTAATACCATGACCTGTTACTAAGACTTAAAACTTGAAAATAATATCGAGGTCAGATTTATATTGTTTGACTTTGACACAATAAATATAATCTAAACTGGGCTCTGAGTTATATTAATAACTATAAATAAGTCACTGACTTTTTTTTTTTTTTTTGGTTATCCTGGATAATTTACACATGTATTACTATGTATGATAATTTGTCACTGTATTTATGTATACCTGTACCTAAAACTTAATAAGAATATAGTGATAATAATACACAAGGGAATGTTAATTATGACTGGAAAACAGATTACTGTACATATTATAGACATTAATAATCATTAATAATGACTGCGGCAATTACATGAGGTCTTGGAAGTGTTTTAAAATTATTTTTGAAGCTTTTGATTGATGGGAATTTTTTTTTTTATCTTCAGGCAGTAATTTATGTATCTTAAAGATTTTTATTTGTATGGAGTTTATAAACAGGTTAAGTCAGACATCTTATATATCCAGTGGCGGCTCGTAACACCAGTAATACTTATACTGTCATACTGCAGCTTTATGACCCTTGTGGTTTTGTGCTTCTTTTTAATTATAATAATATTGTAACTGCATCAAACTTCTATTTTTAGTCATTTATCTCATTTCAACAAAAAATTAAAAAATTCACTTATAAATACACTGAAAAGAACATACAACAGATTTTACCTGTAATATATTTATCAGTTGCAAATTATTTTAGCATAAGGTTGATGAAGTCATGCGTCTGGCAGTGAGCATCTGGGGGGACTGCAGCTCTGCAGCTCCTATGGATAAGCTGCCATTGTATATCTCATAGATATTTACTCCATCTCTAGTTAACAACTACTATCAGCAAAACTTGTGTGTTAGTTTACATTTTACAATACTTACAGCCTATGTATACCATAGAAGAAGTGTTTCTTGTGTATACCTGGAGAGAGTTTTGGGGGTCAATGCCCCCACAGCTTGGTCTGAGACCAGGCCTTGTGGTGGATCAGGGTCTGATCAACTAGGCTGTTACTCTTGGCCTCAGTAACAGCTTGGTTGATCACTGTTGCTACTGGCTGCAGTATCAGCCTGGTTGATCACTGTTACTGCTGGCCGCAGTAACAGTGTAGTTTGTTATTTTTGGAAATATTAGAGAAAGTATTTCATTTATTCAAATTAAGCAATGATTGACCAAGACATGCTGCATACTAGTGGCTTTCTCTTGTGCCTAACAATGTTTTATTGCATGTTTACCTGGAGTTTACCTGGAGAGAGTTCCGGGGGTCAACGCCCCCGCGGCCCGGTCTGTGACCAGGCCTCCTGGTGGATCAGAGCCTGATCAACCAGGCTGTTTCTGCTGGCTGCACGCAAACCAACGTGCGAGCCACAGCCCGGCTGGTCAGGAACCGGCTTTAGGTGCTTGTCCAGTGCCTGCTTGAAGACTGCCAGGGGTCTGTTGGTAATCCCCCTTATGTATGCTGGGAGGCAGTTGAACAGTCTCGGGCCCCTGACACTTATTGTATGGTCTCTTAACGTGCTAGTGACACCCCTGCTTTTCATTGGGGGGATGTTGCATCGTCTGCAAAGTCTTTTGCTTTTGTAGTGAGTGATTTTCTTGTGCAAGTTCGGTACTAGTCCCTCTAGGATTTTCCAGGTGTATAGTATAATCATGTATCTCTCCCACCTGCATTCCAGGGAATACAGGTTTAGGAACCTCAAACGCTCCCAGTAATTGAGGTTTTTTATCTCCGTTATGCGCGCCGTGAAGGTTCTCTGTACATTTTCTAGGTCAGCAATTTCACCTGCCTTGAAAGGTGCTGTTAGTGTGCAGCAATATTCCAGCCTAGATAGAACAAGTGACCTGAAGAGTGTCATCATAGGCTTGGCCTCCCTAGTTTTGAAGGTTCTCATTATCCATCCTGTCATTTTTCTAGCAGATACGATTGATACAATGTTATGGTCCTTGAAGGTGAGATCCTCCGACATGATCACTCCCAGGTCTTTGACGTTGGTGTTTCGCTCTATTTTGTGGCCAGAATTTGTTTTGTACTCTGATGAAGATTTAATTTCCTCGTGTTTACCATGTCTGAGTAATTGAAATTTCTCATCGTTGAACTTCATATTGTTTTCTGCATTTTTTTTTTTTTTGATACTACATTTTTTATACTGCATAAATTGAAATAAAAATTTCAATTTTAAAACTACACAACGTCTAAGCATCTCTGACGGTACTCGGGAGTTTGTTCCACTCATCCACAACTCTATTACCAAATCAGTGCTTTTCTATATCCTTCCTGAATCTCAACTTTTCCAACTTGAAGCCAATGCTGCGAGTCCTGTCTTGGCTGGATATTTTCAGCACGCTATTTACATCCCCTTTATTTATTCCTGTTTTCCATTTATACACCTTGATCATATCCCCCCTAATTCTACGCCTTTCTATAGAGTGCAGATTCAGGACCCTCAGTCTGTAGAACTATGGGATAGATCATCATCATTTTTGTTATTAAAGATCTCAGCTTTTATTTGGTTTGTATTCATCCTGTTGCAATCCAAAAGGGTTATTGAAAAACCACATAATTATATCAGTTTCTCTTTCCCTCCTTCTCTCTTTCCATCTCCATTTCTGCCTCCATTCTTCCCTCTTCATTGGCTTTGCTGAAGTACAATACACCTAAACAAATAATGTTAAAATTGATTGTGACAGAAATTTGAATTAAATATTCATCTGTTGTCTGGTGTTGTAGAGAACCCAGCACTCTCTCTGACTCCACCAGAAGTAGAAAACTTGATGCTTTCGATGTACAAAATTAATAAATTAATGATGATTTGATTGATCCGTAATCAGGCCCATCTTCATACATCACATCTGTAGTTGGGTAAAATTTGCATTCCAGCATCTGTTCTGCCCATGGTTGCCACACCTGTGACATTTAAATAGATCGTACATTAAACCTTATAATAGGGCTTTTTTTTGTGAATATGATAATCTAATAAATCATCATAAAATGTGATTGTCTTTGCAACTACAGTTTAGCAATAGGTTAAAAATATTAAATTGCAGCTATGCTAATCTGTGGTTCTTTTGTTTTGCAGGTCATCCTTTTACCAGAAGAATTGCAGATATCAGCAGTGATATAAAAGTTGATACAAGTGGCAGAAGTAGTGGAGATATATAGTTCCAGCAGTGTGGAGGATATAATACATTGTCAGAATTACTACTTGCTGAGTGTCAGTATGTTGAAGCTCAGGTGTCACATGCACATCCTCAACACCATGTGCTTCTTCCTTCACTTCTCACCTTGAAATATTCTTATGGAACATTATCACTCATTTAAGTAGTAAATGAATTTTCATCTGGTCAAAGTATACTAATAGTGTACTAGTAACCTCTCACATGTACTACAATCTGTTACATCTGGACATAGTACACCAAAAATGTACTAGTAAACTACTAGCTGTTACATTCGGACATAATTTGCTAGTGGTGTACAAGTAACCTCTCTCATGTACTATCAACTGTTTGATCTAGACATGGTTTACTAGCAGTGTACCACTAACCTCACTTGTACTACCAGTATGTAGTACACCAACACTGTACTAGTAACCTCTCACATGTACTACTAGCTGTTATAAATTAAATGTGAGATTAACTGTTCAAGATAACCATATTAGTGTTCACTGTTAAAATAAAATTAATAAAATCTTTGTCTAGAACAATTAAGTGATCTTGGGAACATGGTGAAATTTGAATTATATTAAGTACAGTGGACCCCCGCTTAACGATCGCCTGCCTATGCGACCAATTATGTAAGTGTATTTATGTATGTGCGTTTGTACTTGTATGTTTGGGGGTCTGAAATGGACTAATCTACTTCACAATATTCCTTATGGGAACAAATTCGGTCAGTTCTGGCGCCTGAACATACTTCTGGAATGAAAAAATATCGTTAACCGGGGGTCAACTGTATATTATAGAAAGTGATTTATTGAAACTTAAAACCGATTTCTATGTTTACCAATAGTTTCATTAACTTTTGCCACCACATTATCATCTACCTTTGTTTTACCTTCAGTCTGTTCATTGTTATTGTCAAGTTAAAGATGTAGGAGCTGAGCTAGGCTTATTATTTACAAATAACAAAAAAAGGCACAATACCGTGACTGGAATGATATACAAATAACCCGCTCTCATACATGTTTTATTATTGCCAATGGTTGTATCACTTTTATGTTCTTTCAGGACTTCTACTTGTTGAAAGTGTGTGTAAACTCTTCCTTATCAGTTCTCCTTTATCTTTGTATTAAGACTAATACTTTTATTACTGGCAGTTATTTGCAGCTGCATTTCAGACTTTTACCTACTTGTTCAAGTTTGTGTAAGTACATATACCATAACACACCTCTTCTGTATATTACAATTGTTGTTAAATGATTTTTCAGCATTTGTTTCCTATTTTTATGTTGGTTATTATAAGGGTGTTTAGAGTCGTATAAAAATTTTGTTTTATCGTTTATTTGAACTTCCATTGACAGTCTTTACCTACCCGGTGATGACTCTGTCTGCTTCTAATATTTATACACGAGAAACACATTCATTGTGTGGCTTGTTGTCACTTTCACTTTTCACTTTCATCATCAATGAAAATGTTTAATTTTTAATTTCTTCTTGCCATTTGTTTATATATATTAGAAACATTATGGTTAACATTAACATAAAACAAATTTGAGAGAAAGTTTCTCTTTGTAACACCGTTCATGTTTAATCCACCTTTTTGTAATATTTGTTTCTAGGAAGTTCACAGGAATGTTTATCAGCAAGACAGACCTGTAGCTTAGTGAATCCTCAATTTATCCTTTATTATAATTACCAGTATATGTTATTTTTCCTTTGTTAACCAGTTTATTCTTGAATTAGACTCAAAGAATTTTCCAAAGAGGATAATTTTGGCTTCACATTGTTTTAAGACCCATGATGCCATCTTGTCTGGTACAGTAAATGTTTTCATGTAAGCTTCTTAACTTAGTACTAAATATTTAATTTTCTCCAAGCTCTTAACAGAGCAAAAAATTGTACCAATAAAAGGTAGCCTGTTTGTCTTTCTTCAGGTATTCCATTTCAGTTTATTGTTTGGGGTTTAACTTGAGCTTCCACATTGCCCTCTTATGTAAATACACATTACACTTTGACATATATTATTCCTTTTTATTTCATCCTTAAGTTTCTCATTTTACAAATTTAAAAAGAATTTGCTTTCATCTCTCACATGTAATATTTTTTTCCTGATATATACTTCACACATGTAGAATCAAATGAAACCTATAGGATAAACAGTTTTTTATGAAAATATATATATTATAAATAATCATGAGCAGTGAAATAGAAAATAAACTACATCAATGTTCAGTGTGTCAAAAAGTATTTAAAAAGAAATCATGTCTGACAAGTCATACTAAACTAGTTCATTCATTAGAGAAACCATATAAGTGTTCAGAATGTCTAAAGGCATTTTCAAGGAAAGCAAATTTACAAATACACCAGAAACTACATACAGGAGAGAGACCACATCAGTGTTCAGTGTGTTTAAAGGCTTTCGCACAAAAATCAAATCTAGAGGATCATCAGAAACTTCATACAGGAGAGAGACCACATCAATGTTCAGTGTGCCTAAATTCCTTTAAAAGAAAATCACATCTATTAGATCACCTGAGAGTTCATACAAAAGAAAGACCATATCAGTGTTCAGAGTGTTTAAAGACCTTTTCACATAAATTAACTTTAAATAAACATTTAAGTGTTCATTCAGGAGAGAAACCACATCAGTGTTCAGAGTGTCTAAAGACTTTTGCACAAAAATCAACTCTTATAGGTCATATGAGAGTTCATTTAGTGAAACAACCATATCAGTGTCCACAATGTAAAAATGCCTTTTCAAGAAAGTCAGCTTTAGATAAGCACATGAAAGTTCATACTAGAGAGAAACCACATCGGTGTTCAAAGTGTCTAAGGGCCTTTCCATATAAATCAAGTCTAATTTATCACCTGATGTCGCATGCAAGAAAAAAAATAAACCCCATCAATGGTCCTTGAGTTAGGAAGTTGTCTTTTTAATCAAGTCTAACAAGAAGCATTAAAGGTCATACAGGCTGGAAGCTATATTCATGTTTTAACCCTTTGAGAGCCCAAGCCGTAGTTCTACGTCATGAAATTGTCTCACTCAGATAAACTGTAAGTGGTAAATTTTGGCCTAGATATGAGAGGATGCATCTATGTGGTAAGTGTGCACCATATAAAATAAATCCTGCAGCACGCAGTCCATAATGAAAAAATGTGACCTTTTTGGATTATGTTTTTTATGATTGTTTTAGCAGTTTCTTGGCCTTGGTGTTTTAATCCCAAAACACAGTTGCGTTTTTTCTCATTATGCACTGTGTTCTGCAGGATTTGTATTATATGGTGCACACTTACCACACAGATGCATTCTCTCATCTAGGCCCAGATTTACCACTCACCGCTTATCTGAGTTAGCTGAGTTCATGACACAGAACTACAGCTTGGACCCTCAAAGGGTTAAATCTCAAAAAGTTTTTATTTTTAAATCAGTTTTAAACATAATAATATACAGGAGGGGACCTGCATATGTAGCATCTTCTTTACAGTGTTCCAGATTTTTAGCGTTTTTCAATTGAGCCATTGTTCATTATGTTTCCGCTTTTCTGCCATTTTCACACAACACTTGCATAAGGGAATGGCAACTGGCACCACATTTAAAGGTAAATATTGTATGTACACGGTGTATTTATTTTACTTTTGTATCTGTATTGAGAACTGAATATATGGTTGATTAAACACATTATCAGGCATTGTAGATGCATTCGATATCTAAAAAAAATGCTCTTTTCTACCCACTGGTGATTTTCGCTTATCGTGGGATGGGAACATAAGTCATAGAAACGGGGCCCTCCTGTACAGGCATACCTCATTAATATGGCACTTCCTTTAGAATGCTTTGCTAATTCTGGAAATTTATTCTTAACAAAAAATTTAACAGCTAGATTCGCTGTAAATAATTTGGTAACGCAGTCGTGGGAATCCTTACCGCATCCTTACAGCTTACAATAACACTAGGTAGGTTCAGAGAATAATGTGCAGATTAATAACAAAAAAGGCACAATACCGTGACCAGAATGATACACAAATAACCCGCATATAGAAGAGAGGAGCTTGCGACGACCTTTTGGTTCGACTTGGACCATTTACAAAGTCACACCCTGTGACTTTGTAAATGGTCCAAGTCGGACCGAAACAATGTCATAAGCACCTCTCTTCAATGTGTGGGTTGTTTGTGTAATGTGCAGACTGACAGATTTACCATCTTAATGATGATTTAGGTTTCACTTGTTAGTAAATAATATATAGAATTAATAATGTAGCCTTAGACATTAATATTAGGTAAGAAGATTAGGTATACAGCCTCTCCTGACTTAGCAGTGCACTTGTTTACCGATGACTTGGACTTATGACTTGCTCTTTGACCAGTATGCATACCTAAATAATGTATGTTAGAGCTGATTTCCTATATTCTATTTATTACAATATACAGTGGAACCTCTACTTGCGAGTTTAATCCGTTCCATGACCTTGCTCGCAACTGGATTTGCTCGTTTGCAGAGTCAGTTTTCCTCATTTAAATTAACTGAAATGCAATTAATCCATTCCAGTGGAATTCTGTACTTCAATAATTTCGCTAATATCAACTCTACGGCTTATTTATCTATCACAGTTCATCTAATATGACATAAACAATATGAATAACACAGAAACATGATATATACTCTAGAATGAATAAAATATGTCGTTCATGCAGTGGTATGGGCGGTGTTGGCGGTGGACGAGAGTTTGTCTGGAGACCGGGCAAAATACTTCGTGAATAATTTCGCTAATGTCATCTATATGGCTTATTTATTTATCAAAGTTCATCTAATATGACATAAACAATATAAATAAAATAGAAACATGATATATACTCTAGAATGAATATGTCATTATGTAACAGGTGGAGGCGGCCACAACCGCTCCCTCTTTGTTGTGGTAAACCACTGCCATCTAGTGTGACCGGCCTTTCGAAAGCGTCTATTATCTATATGTAGTACATTGTTATTATATATGTATTATTATTATACATATTATTATTATTGTATTATACAATTATTATACGTATTATTATTATTATTAAATAAACAACTTGTAACTTTTATTCACACAAAAAACATTAGATTCTACTGTTATTCCTTATTGCAATAATTTTATATATAATGTCTACATGTTTTAAATAAGTGACCCCACTGATCAGATCAGACTGCTGGTCCGCTAGCCTCGACTGGTCCGAACCCTTGATGGTTCCGAAATCTTGTACTGGTTTCAATGGGAATTCGTTGGACAATAAAGCAGACTGTAAACGGATGGGGTTGTAGGCACCCTTATCAAACACAAACAATAAGTATAAATCAGGAACGTACACGGTAAGCTGTCCAATATACAAGTACAGTTAGAAAAAAGAATTACAAATAGCTAGAGCTTCATTTAAGGAGGTTATTAATAAGAGTATTCAAGAGGTTGCTAGTAGAATTACAGTGAAATCAAACCATTCAAACATTATGAAGCTCTGTGTAGTCTGC